TAAACATGCCAAAATCTAGAAGCTTTCAATTATGGTCAAAACTGTGGCAGATGTACCTTATTCAAAATACCTTTGGATATTCAGGTCTTAAAATAAAAAAAAAAACAGCTCACATGGGTTGGGGGGTGGGGGGATGCACAGTAAAGAGGCAGGACCTAGTGAGCTTGTGAGCATGTAACATATTGCAATGGAGAGCCAAACCAGAAGCTTCAGGCAAATGCCAAAATAGGCTGGTTCTCAGTATGATCTCTAGAGATTTGGACAAAGGTCATAAAGTCATCTTGCTCAAACAAATCCTCTCATGGAGACATCCACACTTCAGACATATTAAAGTAGAATATGTTGTTGATTTTTCTCTCTGTTGGTGATTTCATTAGCTCTCGTGGATTTAAATATTATCTCTATGCTGACTAGACCTGGTCTATTGATGTATACAGCCCTATTCTCTATTCCAAGCTCCAGTTCCACATCACCAACTGCCTATTTGACATGTCCAACTGGATGTCCCCTAGGCATCTCAAACTCAAGACTGATGACAGAAAACTCAATATATTACTCCCAAACCCTCTCTTATCTCTAACTTCCCTATTTATGTAAGGGTGTTGCCATCTTTCCAGTGACCCAAGTTTTCACTTTCCAAGTGATTCTTGAGTTTCGCTATCCTATTCTCCCACTAGTTACCAAGTATTGTAAAATTTACATTCACAATATATTTCACATCTATCTCCTTTTCACTCATAGTAGCTTAGGTCCTCTTTCTGGAACTATTACAGTAATCTCCTAATTGATTTCCCTGGCTCCAGTCTCCCTTATCTCTAATCTGTCCTCCCCACAGCTACAAATTGAAATTTCTCAGGTCCAGAACTCACTGTCACTTTTCTGCCCAAGAAGCTCCAATGATTCCTTCTTGCCTCCTTGATAAAATACAAACTCCTCTGTTTTGCATTTAGATTCCTTCACAATCTGGCTCCAGAATGCTTTTCTTGATTTATTACAGAGTGCTCTTCTTCATCCATTCTATCATCCACTCTCATTGTTTCATGTGATATTTCATGCCAGTGATATTTTATGTCTATCTCTGTGTGTCTTGAAATCATCTGCTCTTCATCCCCACCTCCATTCCCCCATCCATGGGATATTTGCCCTCTTCATTTCAACCTCTTAGGATTCCTAGCTTCCTTCAAAGCTCAGCTCAAATGTCAGATCCTATAAGAACCAATTCCCATCCTCCCAGGTGCTAAAGTATCCCCCTAGCAATTTCCTTTGTATGAACTAAAATATATTTTGCATTTTCTTATATGTGAACATGTATCTTCCCAACAATATAATGCACATTCTTTAAGACCACAGTTGGTTTAATTTTTGTCTTTATATCACTAGCACTTGAGAAGAAGTACATTATAGAGAAGAGAGAGAGAGAGAGAGAGAGAGAGAGAGAGAGAGAGAGAGAGAGAGAGAGAGAGAGAGAGCTTGCCTTGGAGTTAAGAAACCTGGGTTCAAGTCTCACCCACACATACACACACACACACACTGATGGTATGATCCTGGACAAGTCACCTGACCTCTCAATGCCTCAGGCAACACTTGAAGGAGACAGGTAGGAAAAAAACATTTATTAAGTGCCAGCATCTGAGCTGAGTGCTTTACAAATGTTATTTCATTTGAGCCTCATGACAACCCAGGAAGACAGGTGAGGTGTTTCATTATTATCCCCATTTTATAGTTTAGGACACTGAAGCAGACAGAAGTTGAGACTTGCCTAGGGTCACACAGATGTGAACTTGAGATTCTAAGATTGTATGTTGAAAAGAAAGCATCAGCTTTCATTCGCAAAAGAAATTGTAGCTCCAATTCAGTGCCAGACAAAGAGCTTCCATTTTGGAGTCTTTACTTTGTGTTCCATTTTGGATTGAAGTCTTACTTCAAATCAGTTGGTCCTCACTCTGCCCTTCCAATTTTTAAACTGGTCTCTCATCATCAGGCAGGAAAAGCAACAAGCAACAAGCACTTACAGACACTGTTAGTTGTTTGATTGTTTACGCAGAATGGTTTAAGTGGTTTAATCATCTCTTTTTCAGGACCATGGCTAGCCAATAAAAATGTGATGTTAGAATGGAACATTAGTGGCATGTCAAATTCTCTGTAACCCTATTTAGGTTTTCTTGGCAAAGACGCTAGAGTGGCTTGCCATTTCTTTCTCCAGTTCATTTTACAGATAAGGAAACTGAGTCAAGCAAAGTTAAGTGACTTACCCCAGGGATACACAACTGGTAAGTATCTGAGGAAGGACTTGAACTCAGATCTTCCTGACTCCAGGCCCAGCACTCTATTTTGACACCTAGCTCTCCCCCAGAATACAAGCAAAGAGAAAGACAATCATTGCCCTCAAGGCACTTATATTCTAATGAGGAAGACAACCCACCAAAGGGAGCAGAACTTAAGTAGGGGAGTGTTGAAGATACTCAAATCATCTCCAGTCATCTTGACTTTGTCTTGCCATTGGACTTCAATGACTTTGGAGCATAGAGGGAGACTGAGAAATTTGCATTGCTTTGTCTCACTTAAATCCACTTCACAAGCATGTTAAGACATCACCCTCATGATGTCATCGGTTCTCTTCCAGAAGGAAGGCCAAACAACAACAATGACAGAGTATCCAAGCCCAGAAAATCAGAAGCCCAACCAAGAGGAGAATAAAGGTTGGCTGGCCTGGATCTTTCCCTACATGGAGGCCCCAAAGAGGAACTCACAAATTGGAGGAGACCAACCCAGTGGATGGATGTTCCATTACATGGAGGTCTCAGAGGCAAAGAGATAATCTAGGGTGAGGAAGTCTCCAGTGCTGAAGAAGGTTCCAGGGTGAGAGTAAAATTGAGGCATAGTATTGAAGTCCAGAAAGTCAGAATCACACTAGAGGAGTAATGGGGCAAGGTGACACTAAAACCTAATGCTTTCTTTCCCAAGCCACATAGAAGTTATGTCTCCTATTTGGATCTGCATTTCTTATAGGTCCAGAAGGTTGATAAGGAGCCTTCCCCCCAATTTCTCCTTAGAAGGGATCTTAGAGGTCATTGAGTTCAATCTCTTCATTTTGAAGAAGGACCCAGAGCCATACAGAACAACAGGCTCTCCTGGGGCAAGTGGGGGGGGAGTAGAAGCTCATAAAGGATAAGTCCCTGGGGGAGGAAATACACACTGGAATACTCTGAGATTTCTTCCTGGCCAAATGTACAACTACTTCCAGAAATGGGGCTGGGCAGGGTGGGTAAGAAAGGAAACCTGTTGGAGCTGAGGATGGTCTCCAAAGACAAAAAGTGCTCTCAAGGAAGGTATTGTCAGTACTCTCCAAATTCTCCTGTCTTGTCCTAATTATGAAAATTGGGAGCTTTGAGAAGTTATTTTTTTATAGTTCATTTGTTTTTCAGTTACATCTGACTCTTTGTGATCCCATTTGGGGCTTTCTTGGCAAAGATATTGGAATGGTTTCCCATTCCCTTCTCCATCTCATTTTACAGATGAGGAAACTGAGGCAAACAGGTTAAGTGACTTGCCCAGGGTCACACCAGTAGTATCTGAGGATTTAAGGTCAGGTTCTCACTCTAGGCCCACCACTCTATCCACCATGCCACCCACATGCCCCAGTACAATAATATGTCCTTAAAAGAGGACAGGCACTTGGAGTATAAAAAGCCTATGTAAAAATTGCAGCTTAGGGAGAGGAGAGTGGATAGATATAGTTTACATGTCTGCTGGTAGGTTTAATTGCTTTAAAAAGATCAAGGGCAATTTTTCATCCTCTAACCCTACCTGAAGTAAGGCAAGGATAAAGCAGCCACCAGCAGACAAGTGATACTTAATCAACAAGCATTTATTAAACATTATCTATATTTCAGGACCTATGGTAGGCCCTGGGGATACTAAAACAAAGAATGCAATGATCTCTACTCTTAAGAAGCTTATATTCTAAGCTACTTAAGGACAAATATAATTTCTTTAGTTTGACCAATGAGAATCAGTCAATAATGGGGTATGATTATAATAACAATTAGCATTTATATAGTGCTTTCAATTTTGTAAAGCATTTTTAAAATTTCTTTGATACAAACCAAAGATGAGAAACCACTGGAGGAGGTGACTTTCACACCTTGACATATCACATGTTAGTTTCTGGTAGGTATTCAAATTGCTGATAAAATTCCATGGTCTCTACTGCACTTCTTTATTTGTTATACCTTTTGAGGTTTTTCTTTTCTGCCTCTACCCTTTCTTGATGTGTCTGGTTGCCCTGATCTCTTCCAGGTCCCACTTATGGGGTTTGGGGGGCTCTGGAGAGAACAAAGAAAGACTAATCATAGGTGGAAAATTGAATTTGCTCTTGTCCAAGAGCCACACCTCTGAGATGAACTTTTCCCCACCTTATGGTGACTCTCAATATCTAACTTAGATACTGGGTCTAAGTCTAGATTTAAATCCAGAAGGGATCATAGGCATTTTCTGCTACAGAAGTTCTTAACCTGGGGTCCGCCTCCTCCAAGAGGTTCATAGATTTTACATGGAGGTCTATGAACAAGATGGGGGAATTTTTTTCATCTTTATTTTAGTCACCTTTAACTGACATTCAGCATTTCCTTCAGTGATTTAAAACATTCTGAGAATGGGTCTATAGGCTTCACCAGAGTGCCCAAGGGGTCTGTGTTACATGGAAACAAAACAAAAAACAAACAAACAAAAAACTATTCTTGTCTAGTGGAACCAACCTTTTCATTTTAAGGAAAGGGGTTAAGGCTCAGAGAGGTTATGAGACTTGTCCAAAATCACAAAGGTAAAAAGGTAAGGGAGCCAGTATTCTCCAAGAAGAATCCAAGAAATTTTAAGCAGTATCTGACTTTTATATCTTAGTCGTTGTTGTTTTTTCTCTGACTAGAAAGATGCCTTTGCTAACAGTTTTGTTTCCTGCAACCTGTTTTTTATTATCAGAGACTGCAGATGTCTTTTTTTTCTTTTTGTAATATAGACCCTTGATATTTCCTCATCCTCGCTCTTTGGTGGCTTGCCCTTATATGTGTATACTTTTCAAAGTTTTTCTCTTTTAATATTACCTCATTATAGCTTAACAACAATCAGTGACGTAGTTAGGACCAGAATCATAGTCACCATGTGACAGTTGAAAAAAACTGCACCTCGTGGAAGCTGTGAGGTTTGCACCCCGCCCCCCCAAGGTCAAGGTATAGATCTTCCTTGCCTGAGGTGGCACTAGGACACAGGTCTCCTAACCCCTGTCCAGAGCTCTCTGCAAGTAGACTGGCCAAAGTCAGACCTCAGCCCCGTGCTAGTAGGAATGCTCCATTTTGGGGGTGCATTGATGCTAACAGTTCACTGGATTGGAGGGGCGGCAAAAGACCATGTTTACAGGCAGACCTCTTTCGCTGGAGTCTATTAGACACATTGCTGGATCCTTCTTTCTCCTACAATGATTAAAAATAAAACAAAACAAACAAAAAACAAAGCTGGCTGTAAGGAAAATCTCAGGTACCATAACGACCCGGTAAGCCCCTCTGCAGCATGCCCTAGCCCTCTGTCTCCATACCAACTAGACCTTGTACATGCATCGTGGTTTCCAGGACACAAGACACAGCTCGGCCACTGCAACCTGCTCTCGGGGCTGAGCTGTGTGTGGCTTGGCCCGGTTCCTCCTCGGAGCTCCCACACATTCTTGTCACCACCGGGCGGCAAGCTGGCTGCAGTAGGAGGGAAGAGGAAGGAGGAGGCGGTGGCAGTCAGCGGGACAGACTGGATGAGCGCCCCGCCCCTCCCATCCAAGACTTTGCGGTGGTAGCAGCAGCAGCGGTGGCGGCTGCGGGCGGCTGCGGGCGGCAGCAGCAGCATCTGCAGAGCGCTCAGCCAGCTGGGCGGGACTTCAGTCTGGGAAGAGGGGGAGGTGTGTTTGAGGCGGAGGGGTGGGGGGAGGGTGGGCAGAGCTGGAAGGCGTGGCTCTGAGGCCGGGCTGGCTGAAGAGGAGGAGTCCCCGAGACTGCTGGCTGACTTGAGACTTCAGTGCTTGGGCTGCAATAGGACATTCACACAGCGGCTGCCGCAGCAGCAGCAGCAGCAGCAGCAGCAGAAGCAGCAGCAGCAGCATCCTCTCGCTTCGCTTCGCCTCGCCTCGCTTCCTCCTCTTCTATTCCTCCAGTCCCTCTTCCTCTAACCTCCTCCCTCCCCGGGACCTGAGCTGTCCGTCAGTCCGCAGCTGTGGCAGTGGCGGCAGCGCCCAGGATCTGCGTCCAGGTAAGATACACCTATGTCTAGTCAGATATGTGAGGCTTTTTCCCCAACCCACCTAACCTAGGATCCAAAAAGAGGTCTCCCTAAATGGGAACGAGAAACACCTCCCCCACCAGCCCCCAACACTGACCTCACCCCCTTGCCAGGCCACCTTGGAAGCGGGTGAGAATTGGCCGAGCCGTCAAAGCCCCCACCTGCCAGGCGGTGTCCGAAACCATCAGTAGCTTCCGTGGAGCTGTGTGCCGTGGGTGCTTCTGTTGTCCATCTATTTGCCTGTCTAGGTGAGGGATTCTTTGGGTCCATGAACTGCAGACTTGGACTTTGTCATGCTTAGTATCAGCTTGTCCAGAGCTGTTATTACCTGAGATCGGTAGAGTATGGGGGAGTAGGTAGTGGTACAGGAGGTAAATGAAAGAGGATCTAGGGGAATGAGGGGGGAAGGGTTTGTCTTTTGTTTTTTGTTTGGTTTTTTTTTTAGTTATTTATTTTTAATTTCCTATCTAACTTCATTTAACTTACTTCAAGCTTCACGATGACGGGTAAGTGAATAAGCAGCCCTCTCGTTTTTGTCATCTTCCATGTAATTTGTTAGTACCAGAATAAAAGAAAAATTCTTTACCCCCCCAATGAAAAACGGAGGTGGGAGGTGGGGCTGGCAAAAGGAACAAACATGAAATTTTGAAGTTCAAAATCCAAATAACGTTTTAGCAGGAAATATGGAAAGCACCATCCAATATAGCTGCTCTTTTCTTTCTTTAAATCTTTTTTTTTTAATGATGGTTGTTTCTGGTCTGCAGTGTTGCCTCCCTTCCCCACCCTCCTCTTTTGTTTAAGGATGGAAATTTCAAGAAAGTGTGTGAGGAGGGGTGGGAATGGGGATGTGTGGGCTTGGGAGGAGGGGGCAAGGAGGCAAGGGGAAGGATTCGGAAAGACCATCCCCTGCAAACTGGGAAATCGATTTTCTCCTGACTGGCATCACAGGACTAAAAGGCTTTTGTCAGAAAATAAAAAGCTTTTACCAGCAACAAGCCTATTTGGGATGGTTGCCATGTACCATCTGCTGTGTGCATCCCATCAGAGTACTCTTAGTGTAAAAACCTTAAAAGAGGAAAATATAAAGCGTTATGGTTTTTTTTTTAATTACAAAGGGGAAGAAACAAAAACATTTGAGACAGTTAATTTTTGGCCATGAATTTTTGTTCTTTGAATGTTGAAGGGCTGTAAAATAAAATTGGCTAGCTATAATGCAAGACAAAGGATATAGTTCAGAGATTTGTGTTTGTAAGGCATAGGAGGTGTTCTATAAGAACAATTAATTTGTATTTTAAAATATTTTTCCCAAAAAGACCAGCTGGAGGAGGAAATGACTGCAAACTGAAATAGAGGTTTTCAGCCACAGTGAGGCGGTGGAGAACAAAGCCTTTTTATGTAAGAGAAATTATGCAAAATGTCCCATGCATGGGCAGCAGGTACCAGCCCTAATTAAAGGCAAATCTCCTTTCCTCTGTGATTACACTGTGGGTAATTATAATTTTTTTTTAAATTTGAAATTAGGTTGACAAAAAAAAACCCTTCCTGGTCCCTTTGTAGCATTTATATCTGAGAGGCAGATTACAGCCTTTTATCTGAAGGTACCATGAAACCCTGGTTTTGTTGGGCAGGTGTGTGCATTTTGGAAAGAATATGGTTTCATGAATAGTTGGTGTCTCAATCAACATATATGTTTATGTATAATATTTAATATTACATGTGTACATATATAATATGCATATACTAAAAGGCTTCTTTTTCAAACAAGAATGTTATTTTGATCTGTGTGTTCCTTTAAAAATTACATTTCTGGTGATTTTTATCTAGTCTTCACAGGTTCATTTCTATAAATAAGCATTTGCCCAACAGAATATCATTGTATATTTAGGACCACTAGTGCAAGATTTTTACTATGCCGATTATTTAAATGTCCTATTTTACAGTTTGGCATATTGTGTATTTCCAACAGTTTTTGTGAGAGGTCCCTCCCCTTAAAAAATGGAGAATCTTTTGTTAGACCTTTGCAATCCAAATGGCTTGTTTCAGAAATGAGTTTTCTTTATTCTAACCATTTGAATTTATTCTAACAGTTTAAATTTCTCTAGCCTTTATTATTTCACCTATTACTGTCCCTTTCCTAGTGAAGAATCTGGTTCTTTTTGGTTGCACCTGTGCTGGCTTCTCTTTATGTCTAGACTATGGAATATCAGCCAATAGACCTAGGAGGAGCCTCAGATTCAGGACTTACTCATTCTCTGCAGCAACTCCTTCTTCCCTCCCTGATGAATGACATTCTTACAGCACCTTAAACAGGGTTTGGGAGGAGAGCAAAAAACAAATGTGCTGAGAGAGCATTACCCAATGAAACTGGCACAGTGCTTACTTCATAGGTCACTCCAGAAGGTATTTCAGGAGCCCTAAGATTGTAGCCTGTCTCCTAGTAGTAACTAAACAACTAAACAGCAGGCACATGGAGATCTCAGATCTCAGGGCCAAAACTCCTTGTCTGACAGCAGCAACCAGTAATGTTCTCCTGAGTTAAATGAAGTGTGTGTGTGTGTGTGTGTGTGTGTGTGTGTGTGTGTGTGTGTGTCTTATATATTTTCAGGAAGCTTGAACTCAGTCAGAAACATGTGGCCTGAAATGGAATTTTGGCACAGACCCTTTAAGCCTGCAGGGACAACTTCATTCTTTCACCACTTTTGGTTTAATTCAGTTTTCAAAATTTCTAATTATTACAAGTGAGAAGAAAGAAGGATGCTTTGGGAGACTTTTTTTTCTTTTTGACATGTATTCTTGTGACCCAAATGTGCAATGTTGCATTTGACTAGATTCATGACACACCCTGTTGCTGGTAAAACTTGAGAAATATAATTGGCTGCTGACATTTTAAAAGCAGTTAATACTAATGTAAAAGTCATTGCATTTAGTAAATGTATAAATTGCTATGTCCATGTATTTTCCATATTAGAACTGAAACTGTTTCAGTGATGTTTTTGATTTTTGCATTTACTGATAATAATTCACAATTGTATATCATTTTGAGCATTTTCTTCATAACAAACCTGTGAGGTAGACATCAACATTGAACAACTCACTTATCCCTTCCTGGGCTTCAGTTTCTTCATCTGTAAAAATGAAGAGGATGAGACTTCACTGCTGAGATACATTTCAGATCTAGATCTATGAGTATTAGATATTAATTATTACACTGGTAACCATGGCCTCCAAGAAATCCACCACAAGGGGTTTGCAAAACCTTCTTTTGTCATTGGGTGGATAGTAATGGAGCTCACAGGACTTTTACGGGTGAGAAAATCCAAGTTTGGAGAAGTTAGATGACTTAACCATGATCATACAATTATTAGATATCAGAACTGGGTGAAAGGCAGTGGGTTTATTGAGAGGAACTGGGTTTTAACCCTGGCTCTATTCATTATATATCAGCTACGACTTTTCAAGTCCCTTCACCTCTCCACTTTTTTCATCTATAAAATGGGAACTGGACTGAATTCTGGCTAAGGTTCTTAATAGCTCTAAATCCTGTGATCTTGCAAATCTGAATCCCCTAACTCCAACTCCGGGAACCTTTCCACCAATCCACCCTGTGTCATGTTTCTTCATGGCTCAGGTGATCTAATTCTTCTCAATTCTCTTAATTCTTGCCAGATCAGATTAAAAAATTCCAAATAGCAGTCATAGTAACTCATGGTACCACCACCACAATGAATACTTCATGCCTTAACTACACATTGCAAAACTGGAAATAGACATTTAGGTAAATCACTAGGGAAACATGTGAGCCTTTATAATGATTTTGAAGGTTAAGAAGGTACATAGGTTAAGAAGATCTAAGCACATTAATGAGGTCTTTGAGTCATACCTCTTCGTTTAAGTCACATCACACCTTTTCCATTTCGAGTCCATCCATGCTTGCATAGCTTTGGGGTAGCCGAAATCTGATTGATGACTTCCACAAATCTTTATTAGGCAATTACTATGTACTAGGTACTGTGCTTGGCTCTATGGAGACAAAAACGAAAGGACACCACAACCCCTATAGTCTTCTTGCTCATAGATAGTATTTTTATCCCTTCACTGTATTCTTCTCCCTTCATGCCTGTCCTTTCTACTTGGTATTTAAATGACACTCCTTTTCTAGACCTTTTGTCATGCAGTCTAGCACCTTCTACACATAATACATTCCCCCCCCTTTTTTCACCAATGGCAGCACTATATCCATACCAAATGAGCTATTTATAGCACAGTATTTTTTTATTCACCTAATCATTCAGTATATATTTAAGTATTTAGTATATATATAAGTATATATATATATAATCATTCAGTATGCATATAAGTATTAAGTATTATTCAGTATATATTTATTAAGTCTCCACTGTATGTGTAGTGTTGCATTAAGTGTTACGTGGAGTATTAAGAGTTAAGTGGAAGCTTAATGACATTGCACCAAGTCCTTCAATGAAATTGTGTATCAAGAGCCTACTTGAACTCTAAATGGTACAGGTAGGCATACCTTGTCCAGAGTTGAGTCGCAAATTGGCCTCTTTCCACTTTTCGATTATTATGAGTCCCCAGGAGTGATTTGGTCCCCTTCCTGGACTTCCTTCTCCTGGAACTGTGTGCCCTCTCTTGTGTCTTTTTCACACGCAACTTTTCATTATATGTAATAATAAGAACAATAATAGCTAATTTATATATTGCTTACTATGCTAAGTGCTTTACAATTATTATCTAATTTGATCCTCACAATAGCCCTGGGAAGTAGGTGCTATTATTATCCCTATTTTATAGAAGAGGAAACCGAAGTAGACAGAAGTGAAATGAATTACCCAGGGTCACAGCTAGTAACTTGTAAGACTGAATTTGAACTTGAGTCTTGCTGACTCTAGACCTGGCACTCTATCTACTGTGCCACCCAGCTGCCCTATAAGTCTGAACAGTGAAAGATGCCTTACTCTTAACTCTTTACTTAACAGATGAGAAAAATGAAGTTCAGGGACATGAAATGACAAGAACACAAGCCTCGTAAATAACAAAGCTGGTATGTGGATATAGGCTCTATCTCCTGTACTAGGTAGTAAGATTCTTAAGGGCAAGGTTGTGTGAGACTATAAGCTCCTTGAGAAAAGAAATTGTTTCATCCTCTCTAGCCTTATCCTCCTTGCCTAGTGCAGAGCCTGGTAGATGGGAGCTACTAATTATCTTTTTATCTCATAGCACAGACCCCAGAGAGATTTGTGATCTCATCA